TGATATACAGAATTGTATACATATGTTTGAGAATGACAAACTTTCAGAAAATATACATGAAGCTCTGCACAGAAAAAAACTATAAAATGAAAGTGTATGAATAACAAAAGAAAACCTTACAAAAATACTTCAAGCAAAAAACATTGTAAAAAGGAAACATTGTTGTACATTCAATTACAATAAAAATGCTAAGATGCTACTGCCTAAGATATTTGTTAGATTTTAGAGAAAAAGAAAACTATTTGTTAGAGGAAAAGAAAGAACTGTACTTGTAAAAGGAAAAGATCAGACACTTTTATTTGGTACATAAACAATATTTTAGTGAAAGTATCATAAACAGATTTATTTTTATTTTATGTTATAAAATGCAAAATAAATCAGTAATGACAATTAAGCAGTTTTGGTTATGTACTAAGTAAAAGCTTAACTTCTTTGCAGAGTATCACAGGTATGATACACATCACAGTGTTTACGCTTTGTGAATAATCTGTTGTCTGTAAGGCACAGTCTGCATCTTTTTACCTATTTTGACAAGTATTGGATAATGCCTGTCAGTAGTGAGTCTCAGAGGAGAGTTCTGTGCAGATGTTGTAAGTGGAATACCAGAAATACCGGGTCTGCTCTGAAGTAGAGACTCAACAAGGGAAGTGACCAGCTCCATCCTGAAGGACTTCTGTGACAGTCCCGGCTGATTAGTCTTTCAGTAGAGAATAAAAGCATTGACTATGGTCAAATCCAAAAGCTGGAAAAAACAGTCTTTTGTACCATTTTGGACCTTCATCCAGTTGAATAGTAGCTGAGGAACTGGTCATTAAGGTCTACTTCTCCCATAAACTTGTTATAGTCTACAATTAGCTGAGGTTTTGTAACCTCAGCATCCCTTCCTCTTCTTCTAGTTGTCATGGCACTGGAGTATAAAGTAGAAAGGGCATAGATGTCTCGTTTGTCCGTCCATTTCACTGCTGTCAGACTTCCACATTTAAAACATTGTGCTTCACCTTGCTGTAGGGTTGTTGCAACCAGTTCCCATGGGAAATGCAGTCTGTCCTTCCTCCATGCCCCACAAGCATAAGTTCCAACAGCCAACAATTTATCAAGTAAACGAGGGGAAGTGTAGAAGTTGTCCATGAAAAGAGAGTGTCCTTGTATATTAAATCTGTCCATCAGGTCCATGACAACATTATCTGCTAAATCTCTGGCTGGCATTTGTCCCTCCTAGCCTGTGTAGATCTTGAACTTTTAAACAGTATCCACTTTCAGCATCTTCCAGGACCTACAAACTTGATATCTCACTTGACTGGTTTCTTTGGTAGGTATTGGAGGAAACCAATCCTACATTTTGTACCCACCATTTGCTTATCTACAGACAGTTCCCTGTTAGGAGAATGGTGAGAACTGAAGGACTTCAGAAGTTCTATGATTGGTCTAACCTTAAAAAGTTTATCATGGTTAGGGTCAGTCCTAGGAAGAGTGTTAGAGTTGTTATTAATATGTAAATGTTTATGGATAGTTAAAAAGCTGTCCCTATAAAAGATTTTAGTTAACCAGGACTTATGAAAGGGAAGATAGGTAGACCAGTAGTCAGAAATAGAGTGATGAGTCTTAAGGCCCATAACTATAACTAGGCCAAGGTAAGCTAAGATATCCTCAACAGTAACATCTTTCCACATGACAGTTTTTTCTTTTGAGATGGTTCATTTTGGTTTACTTGTGTTTTATGCCCATATCTCTTTGTTTCACCTACAATTAGGTGCAGAGCTTCCACTCTGAAAAGGAGTATGAAAAGTTCCATTGGTTTGTTCAAAGAGGTGACCTATCGGGAGACAGGTTCACCTCTATTGAATGGAGGTACCTGTTGTTCATCTTCTCTCATGATTTTTACCAATGTACAACTGTTATTTAATACAATAGGCTTCTACTGTGAGGAAGGATCAGTGGAAGCACTCACTGGAGCTCAATCCCTTCCTCTATTCCTCTTAGCTGTGCCTCTTCCCTGTGGTGTTGGTGATGTTTGTTCTGATGTACCTGGCCATGGGAAGTAAGGAACATCCTCATCAAAATGAATTTCACCAGCTACATCTTGATCTGTCCATAAGATAGAGTCAAGAAGAGCTGGTTCAACATTTAGTAGCCATTTGGGTTTGTAAACAGATTCAGTCACAGGCATTGAAATTGAAGCATCAGGTACTTGAACATCTGTTTTGTCTGACTGAATTGTTTCTTCTGATGAAGAGAAAGATCAAAGAGGAACTGAATCTCTTTCTCAGAAAGATATTTCTTCTTTTTCAGTTGCTCCACTTTTTTCTTTACTGACTGTTTATCCATTTCTAAAAGGAAAAAAAACATTACATGTATTCTCTGTGTATATTTGCTTTATAGAAGCAGTACAGGATATGCTAAAATACAGAAACAGCTACACTGAACAGTAACAACTCATTGTGTTTCACAACTGTAAGAGGACTTCTAAACTCTTTAGCTGCAAAAGTAAAAATGTTTTCCAAAGAAGACTAGACTTATAATGTTTGTGAAACTGAACAAGTGTGATAGGTAATACTGAATCCTGAGTTTTTATTGGTTGATGAATTAGTGCTGAAAAGTCTTGTTTTGAAGACTGTAGGATACATACATAACTTGATAAGTTACACATCCTGTTGTCAGCATAAATGTTTTCACTGATTCTAAGTGCAGTGTGATTACTCTGAATCTTCCATGAAAACGTTTTAGCATATATAATCCGATACATTAGACATCCTGCTCTCGGAGAAGGGGTTGAGTTGACTATCTTTTTGCAGGTGCTTTGTTGCTTTCAGGAGTATCATATTTCGCTGGTAAAATAAATGTGAAATGTTTAGCAGTTCAAATTTGTAAGAGAAGTACTTTGAAACTTCGTGACCAATAATAACGAAAAAAAAGGCACAGCTGCTCCTTTTATTTCTAATTTTACAACTTGTCTTTTCATTTTACATTTGGGATTTGTCTACAGGCTGAAGACTCAAGTATATCATTAAATAACTGATAAGATATAGTTTTACTAAAAACAAATGTTTTAAATGTATTTGGAAGGTTTTAAAGATTACACAAAAGAAATTTGAAATTTTGGGGATGAAGAATAGTATTTTTATTCATAACATGAAAATCACTTGCACTCACACTAGTAAAGAAACAGACTCAATATATTCACAAACAAATCTTCAGTAAAAATACTTCATTAAGAAATTAATTTTTTTTGTACAAAAGACTTGTACTGTTAACTAAAGGTATACCAAACTTTGTGATAATGCACATACTGAATTAAAAGTTATAGTATAAATATTTAACCTGTGCAAATGTGTATACGAATTTGTGTGTATTATACTGAGCCCATTGCGAAAGGGTTAATCATTGGGTTAAGTAATTGATTATGTTCAAAAGTTGAAAATGATTAATACTATTTGATAGATTTTTCTCTTCAAATTTTCACAAGACTGCTAAAAACTAGTCCTTTGTTAAAAATAATTGTTCTTATATCAGGCCTTGACAAATACTTGACAAATACCAGGTCACCATGGCGACTAAAAGTTTCATTTGGATGCCCAGTATTTTCTCCCATTTTATTTATGCATAGGTATGTGCTACATGGAACTTGAATCTAGAACAGTTCTGGACTCTTGGAAATCCGGAACTATTTTCGCATTCTTTGAGTGTGAAATTTAACTTTGTTTCTAGGATTTTCATGGCAGATTCAACACTTCATGTTTTTTCAGGAATGAAGCTCTGCAGTTGCACAACACGTTACTAATTTTGCATCATTTTGTTTCTTCTTTCTCTCAGTTCAACCAATCAGGAGCAAAGGCAGTTAGTTCAGGCAATACTATCAAGTAGTTGTTGATATTATGTGATCATTAGCATGCACTTGTTACTAAGAAAGTAAATAAATATAGCCACCATTTCCTGATACAAACAGCTATGAAGTAAAGTTAAGCACACCAAAAGGCCTTTGCTTATTGTTGTACAGTACACTGTTGTAGTGATGAGTAAATTAGATCTATTCCAAAACAACCTTCTTGGTCTATTGATATTGCAGTGGTTATTTTTATTTTTTTTTCATTCGTTGAAAGAATCCACCTAAGTTATAGTTATTTAGTCTACTATTTTAATAATTGCGCCTATTGAAGTCGAACTTTAATATATGTTATATGATAAACTTTAATAATGATCCCTTTGTTTTTTTAGTGTAAAACTGTATGTCTCGTACCATAACCACACAACCAACTCAAAATATATTCCATAACTTTTCTATATTGGACCTGGCTCTTAAGTTTTTGGACTGACCCCTAGATCTGAAAATATTTGTTGAGGCCTGCCTTTGATATCATGTGGTAAAACCAGTTGAGATTTTGAAGAATGTAGGTCCAAAACTTAAAACTTCTTATAATATGTTACACATGACTTAATTCAGCTACTGCATGTACATGTTTATAATTTTGGTAACCCACCTTGGTACTTTTTCTAATATGCTGGTATATTTCCTTCAGTACAGGTAGAGATATATAAAAATGGCACATACTACTTCAAATGGGGCTTTATACATGTACAGTATGTTTTATCATATGGTACTTTTAGTGAAATTATAGAGTTAATGTACCAAAATAAGTCATGTTTCCCATTGTAGGAAAGCATATCTCTTTAAAAACCAGCTATTGTGTGAGAAAGGAAGATTGAATTGTTAAATTAAATATGCAGATTGTTTATGAAACTAGGGATGTTTTTTTTGACTAACAAAGGGTTAATGAGAAAATTATTTATTTATACCAAATGTTTGTGTTCCAATCGAAAGCACCTTTTTCAAACTGGATGAACAGAGGGATTAAACTACTTATTAATGAAAAATGCTTAGTTCGTAAGATAATTGAAATAACATGCATGCAGTAAAATCAGTGTTTGAGTTTTATCTAAATATGCAAAAATAAATCTAGGAAATTACTGACAAAGCTAAGAGGTACTATGAAATTGTTTTGCTAATATCAAAGTATCAGATTTATCTTGAAAGGTTTTTTTATGTTCATATGAAGTGCAAAAAGACTTGAGATACAGTATTTTATTTCTTTTGCAATGGGTAGGTCAAAGTGTGCATGTCACAACATTTTACAGAATTTCATTTAAAATTACATTAAATTACTTTATTATTAATGTATATGGATAAACTTGGCATCAAAATGTAGTTAATAAATCAAGTTTTAATATACAAGTTTTAAATTTTAATTTTATAAGGAAGTATTGAAAAAATTTTCAACTTCTCCTAATATGAGAATTGTGACATTTGCTCTCTAGGTATCCCCTTTTCTGTAATATATTTACCACCCCTTCAAGAATTACAAAATTTAGCCAGAATTACTCATTATAATTTAGATATTACTCAGTCAAATCATAATTTTTATACCCCTCAAACTTGTATGTTTAAGAAGCCATAAACTAGAAAATTAGACCCACTTGCCATGCCCACCCGTTACATTTTCTCTTTCACAAATTACCAGTAGTTCTGTCTGACATTTTATACTATATTATTATAACCATTAGAAAGCCAAAGTTTTAATCTATCAAATGATGTATTATATTATGTTATTTTCTGTACAGGGAATTGTCTGTTTTTGTCGTACAGTTTGAAATTTTTTCTTAGTCAGATAGCCAGAAGAATTATGATAGTTATAGGACATTGTTTTTTTGCGTTATTATTCTGTATTCTTAGGTGAATAATTAAATAAACAATTATTTAATGTAGTAGTACCATTGGTATAAAATAAGTAGGCTTAAGTTTCATCAACAGAAGACAGCAAAAAAACAAGAGGATACGGGTAAGTACTGTATTTCTTGTTTTTCATGTATGCTCTTTATTTATTATTATAAAAGTAACTAGAATGTAAAAAATTAGAAACTTGTTAGGTTAGATTAGGTAAAATAATGAAAAAAAATAGTCAATTTTCTTTGAGGTATGCTTGCAAACAGCTCCTGCATTATGTAATTCGATACAGTAAATTTAGCTCTACATTCACTGAGTGATTTACAACTTGTATGGTGGCATTATTAATTAGACACAATTCAAAGGTCAATAAAACAAAATTAAGTTTAAATAGATGTATACTGTTACAAGCTTTAAGCTGTTTAGAGTAAACATTTGTGGTTTCATGTTACAATTTGCAGTCATTCTAGAAAAAAAGGGTAACTTAATTTTATATAGTGGTTATGAGACAAATATTGATATACTAAATTCTCTAATTATATCATAAATTATAAATGTGATAAAGGGACTGATATAGAAAATGTTCTACAATCAAGTGTTTTTTCTAAGTATTATAAGGAATTTGTAAAACATGCAAATTACTATTGTTTTTCTAAGCCCAAAAAAATATAATTCCAAAACATACATACCTCTACTGACACTAATAGCTATTTCTTGATCTTCATCTTTGCCATCTAATGTTGTGTTTACTTGCTCCAGTCTTTTTTTACCCCACTCGACTGCCCTCAGCAATATATAATTTGCAAAACTTTACACCGGCCCTTACACGCCCTCTATGCAGGTACTGTATATAAGCACTGTTTGCAGACAGTAAAATCACTTTTTCTTGACAAGTTTCAGACAGAGTGCGGCGGTGCCAGTGGGCATCGGTGACTACCTATTTTCACCAAATCCTGTTGGAAGATGATTACATCTCTTTCACCACATTTGGTGTTTTTTCACCATCAATCATTGGGTTCTCAGAGTGCTGGAGTTGGGAATTGAGATTCAATTTACTTCTTCCCTTCCTCTGTCCTCTCTTCCAGTCATTTTTCCTCCTCCTTCAGACCTCGGATATACAGATCTTTGAGTCCAACCCATTCAGGAGTTGTTTCTCAAACAAGTCACTGAGAAGGTCAATCCCATTCATCCAGGATTCTATTCTCCTTTTTTTCTGGTGCTCAAGAAAACTGGAGATTGGCATCCTATCATCGATTTATCTCGACTAAATCTTTTTTCTTCAGCATCCTTGTTTCACCATGGAATCTTTATTCAACTTCAATGGCACTTCTCACCAGGTCTTTGGATGACCAAGTTTGATGTTGCAGACTCCTATCTTCACATCCCCATAGCAGAATCTTCTCGTCGTTTTCTGCATTTTGTGGATGAGGATTAAGTGTTCCAGTTCAGAGCTCTCCCATTTGGACTTGCTTCAGCACCATATGTCTTCTGGTTACTGGTAGGGATCATATCACTAAGATATATATATATATATATCTGTCGTCCAAATGCCCTGGCCACCAACGTGGGATATGGGTACCATGACATCTTAAATCCAACCCGAGTTGTGGAACCTCGGCTGTTTGGTCGGGGCTGGACCATCATACATGTATTATATTCCACCCTTTACAATTTTCTGTACTTCTGGGTGAAGAGCATAGCTGTTCTGGATGTAGTGTGGTGTTTCCCACTTTGATACCACTTCTCATGGTACATATATGTTCTCTGCAGATGCTTTCTGTATGATCTCTGTCCTCACTGGCCCCCTCTACCTTCTCAATGTTGGATTCTAGCTATTAGTGTCAGTGGAGGTATGTATGTTTTGGAAGTTATCATTTTGTTAAACTGAAAACTTATTTCCAAACATAATTACCTCTACTGACACTCTCCCTCCCTTCCTCCCCACTAAGAGCCAGTGTTAGTGACCAGAATGTGGTAAGTCTTGAAAAAGTGATTTTAGTGTCTGCATACAGTGCTTATATACAGTACCTGCATAGAGGGCGTGTGAGGGTCGGCATAAATTTTTGCAAATTAGATATTGCCGAGGGCAGTCAAGTGGGGTATATAAAGACTGGAGCAAGCGAACACAATGTTAGATGACAAAGATGAAAATCAAGAAATAGCTATTAGTGTCAGCAGAGGTAAGTATATTTGGAAATACATTTTCAGTTTAGGAAAATGGTAACTTTCTTTTTTGTGTACAGTAATAATAAAAGCTGTAAACTATTTTTCTTGTAATTTTTTTGATTTATTTTAATAATTCTTTTTCCTAGGTAACACACTTGGCTGTAGTGGATTTAGAAGCAGAATATAAACATGTTACCTCTCTCAGTGCAGCAATAGTTAAAGTTCTTGCCCCTCCAGATGTTCTCTCCTGTCCACTTGTGTATTCCATCCTTGTTGATATAATTGCCTACAGTGTTCTTCTTCCTTTAGTGCAGCTTCTTGTGAACCCTGACTGGTTAAACAGGATCATATTCACTGTTTTCTCAGATAAGTCAACATCTTTGGAAAATTCAAACCCTACTGAAAATGATTTTGTCGAGGTTGTGAACAATAGCAGCTCTGAACATGAAAATCTGAACCAATATCGTAACACTACTCAGTCCAATCCTCAGTTAGACAGAAACAGTGATAGTGTAACTTTGGGAGCCATTAAATCTGGAGTTTCCAATCATAATGTACAGTTACATTTGAATTTGCAAAACAATATAAGAGATAATACCAGTTTGCCTACAAAATATGCCCATTCATCAGAAGTTCAGCCATTAACAGTAAGTATGAAAAATAAAATTATTCAAGAGGACCTTGTTGATGAAGTGAAAGACTCCGTTGAAGTTCATAAAAAAAACAGTGTCATTTTTGATGTCACTGCCAAAGAATCTAGCTCAGAAAGAGATATATGGAGTTTGGAAATTTCAAAGCAAACAAAATATCCATTTAGTCTTTCACCAGGAAGATCTGTTCCACCCAGATCTGGTACATTGTCAGTATTAACTTTACCAAATAAGACTGATCAGCCTGTTTCTGTGGAATCAGTTGCTTCAAGAACTAAAATTAAGAGGTCAAAAAGTCTTGATATTATTTCTCAGGTGATGCCTCGTCTTAGCCAAGTTCTTCCAATTGGTAGCAATAAGTATAACAACGAGTGTGGGAAGTTTACATGTAAAGCAAAAAAAGAGAATGCTAATTCATTGCCCAGAACCAAATGTAATATGTCTCCTGAACAGGTAGAAGAATCAGAGCATCCAGAAACAGCTACTGAAGTATTAGAATCAGATTTTGAGTTCACCTTGTTTACTAGTATTTGTATTTCAAGTACTGAACAGAGACTTGAAGAAGGAAAAGGCTCTTATACATTATACTGCATTCAGGTTAGAAAGACTTATTTTCCTCACCTGAAATACATGTATATGCTTCAGAAGTGAAAGAAAAAATATCAGTAGTAAAATTAACTATTTCTTTCTTCTAAGGATGCTTAGTTTTTTATTTTGAGAATAGTGGGACAAGTCCTATCAATGTTAAAATTGCTTAGAATGTGGAACTTCTTTACTTGTTTGAATGTATATGTATTCTAATTTTACTGGGCCCGGCATGGCCAGGTGGTTAGGGCACTCGACTCGCAATCTGCGGGTCGTGGGTTCGAATCCCCGTCACACCAAACATGCTCGCCCTTTCAGCCGTGGGGGCGTTATAATGTGACGGTCAATCCCACTATCCGTTGGTAAAAGAGTAGCCCAAGAGTTGGCGGTGGGTGGTGATGACTAGCTGCCTTCCCTCTAGTCTTACACTGCTAAATTAGGGACGGCTAGCGCAGATAGCCCTCATGTAGCTTTGCGCAAAATTCAAAAACAAACATACAATCTAATTTTACTGTATTACATTACAACCCAATGAAAAATCAAGTCATTTGAAAAACATGAATGGTAATGCCAGTTATGTATAAAATAATTGTTATTTTAATTGCTATTTGTTTATTTTGTGAACATCATTGGTCTGAAATTTGCTATTCATTTTGATTAAATGGGGTATGGATGTTTCAGTATGTAGATTTGAATATATGTACCCTGCAGGGGTTTTTCTTTCCGTATGGCAGGGGAACTTTCCCCTCAAACATAATATACCCACTTCCAGATGTTTTGCAAGTTTGAGGGTTTTATTTTTAGATTATAACTTTGGGTATGTATAAAAACAAACTAGTAACATTTTAAACATGTTTTTAAACAAATATTGGGGATTGCAGTTAGGCAATGTTTATAGACATAATATGTCTTTGGCATTTGAATGCTCTGTGCCACATCTTTTTCTTCTTTGGCTTTCCCTATTAGTAGGGGCTGCTGTCCTTCACACATGTTGCCCACCCTCCTGAACTTGTTTATATTACTTGTACATCTATACATATTTAGTTTTTAAAATTTTAACCAGTCTTATGAACAGTGAGTTGGGGCAAGTATGAGCAACTTTTTAAAACTCAAGGGTCAAAGTAATATAATTTGCAATTGGTACGGAACCACATTATTAAACAATATTAAAATCAAGAAGTATGTTTGCAGATATTTTATTATTTATGTTTAATTGTTTCAGTACAGTTGTTCATCAGTTGATGAGAAGAGATGTGATATTTTTATAAATAAATAAAGATAAGTAAAATATATAGTCCCTACCCAGAAATTGGAAGTATTGAAAAAGCCACTGCAATACTGAAGAGCTGCATTTGGCTTGCAAAATGCTGTTTGGCCAATTTTTGAAATAGAGCATGAGTTAAAATTAAAAAAAAATAAAAAGTGTAAAAGTTGTGATTTCAGAAATATTGTTTAGACTTACTAGCATTGTAGATAGTAAACATGCTTGAGTTTTATATATCCACCTGTCTTTTCAAGAATATGATATATTCCCACTTCTCTTTGAATGTTCACCATACAATTGCCTGGTGTTCTGGCTTTAAATTTTAATTAATCTTCTTAATTTAGTATAAATCTTTCTGAAAGTAATTTGCTTTTTATTTGAAATGAATTATGTATATTGGCTTAAGACTATTATGATGGTTTAAAAGAAATTAGGATTACACATGTACATGTGTGTATGTTTCAAGAATAAGAAAAGTCAGTTTTATTTTCCATATATTTTGTGTGTATACATATAGTATGAAGCTCCTTACATATTGTGTCCTGAGGATGAAGACGAGTTTCAATCACATTGGGTTAAACATCTGTCAACAGTAAAGCGGAGATTTCGAGAATTTCTCACACTTCATTCTCGACTTGAAGAAAATCAAGAGACTCGTAAATACTTGAAAGGTATGAAATGAAAGCTCTCTGTTGGTTTATTATATTTTCCTGTTAAATTTATGTACATGAACAAAAACATTTAAAAAGAGAGTCAGTAGTTACATGAGTTTTTAAGTTGTTTTAATTCTTTTTGAGACTATTCAGATTTATTAATTTAGCATTTTCTGAGATTTTCACCCCAGGATTTATATGTTCTGTAAGGCTGTGAAATTTCTACTTCTGATGTTTGATTGAAATGTCTTTAGCTTTCCTGTGTGTTGCTGCGTACCCTTACCATGTTACATTGTTTGAGGTTGCTCAAGAAAATTTGTTTGGATGGGTCTAGATTGGAGGAGAGATGCAATGACATTCTGATATGCATGATGATCTATGGTTTGAATATCCCTCCTCACATACTCAGAGTACCTTATTTATTTTGCCCCTCGAGGTGGATTCCTATATGTGGTGAGGGGAACTTCCAGGGAAGGTTCTGTATTTTCAGTTTACCTCATCTGGAATATGAACATTCACTCACGTGTTTTCTGTGCATGGAGACCCATGAAGGGGAGGAGAGGATCCTGGTGGTTGAGTGGTGTCTGGAGCACTGCAACACACCTCTTTGGCCTTGAATTCCCATAGACAGGTGGCCTTGGGGTGCCCCCCCAGGGTTAATTGGCTAGTCCTGTTGGGCTAAGGTCAACCCGAGTACTAGTGTTGGGCATTCTCATTGAGTGTTGTGGACATTGTGTCTGATGCTGGTGTTTGGGTATAGTGCTCACAAAACCCTGGCATTGTTACAGTGTCCTTGTTTGGCATTGTAGTGTGTCCCCTCATAGGACCCCATGGTGGGTGGGGTCAGTGGGCACTGAATGTTTCTTTTTTTTATTATGGATCTCCATTATTCAAATAAAAATAAAATGGTAAAAACTCAGCTTTTTGGTAAACGACCATGCCTTGAAGACTCTGACCTTCAATCTTCAACTCATCTTGCTTCTATACTTCGTTTTCTCATTATGCATTCTTTGTCAGAAAAACCTTAAAGGCAAATGTCTCCCTTTTTTTTATTTAGAAGGGATTAGAGGGGCTTGCTGGCTTTCCAAAGTCAGTCAAGAAGCTACGTTCTGGGGACATCTTGGTGGAAACATCAACACCAAAATTCAGCAAACTCCTCTTGAATTCGAAGACCATTGGCTTGGAAGTTATTGTCCCCTACTCCATCTCAAACATATGCTGCTGCACTATGCTCCACTGCTATGGTGGGAGTGCAGACGGACCTTTCTGTGTCTCTGTCAGAGTCTTTTTCACACCATGTGAAGAATATTTTGCCCTCAATGGATACCGAGTTGACAAGTCAATGTCTACACCTATCTCTGTCCCCACCATTCCTTCCAGTGACTGCCTAGGCCCACCTCCTATGGCCCGGCCTCCGGTGTCCACTTGGGCCTATCTTCTTCAGCCCTGGGATGCAGAACGATTATTCGTTCACACCCTCAGTCATTGGAATCTAAGTCTAATGACAGAGATCTGCTCACTCGACTAAGGACAGGATCCATGGAGGTCAATAGACCTCCTTCTAGTAAAGAAAAACGTAGTGGTCAAAAACAGAAGGCTTCTCTGCCCAGTTCTCCTACACCTTCGTAAAAATGGCCACTTTGATACAGTGGAACTGTCAAGGTTTTTGTTCTAGTCTGGATGACATTAAAGCCTTGATTGATTCCTGTCATCCTGTTTGTCTTTCCTTACAGGAAACATTCCTGAAACCTGCCAATACAGTCATCTTTCAGCAGTTTTCTTAATACCAAAATGACAGGTTGAGAACATGGAGGGCTGGCACTGCTGGTCGACCGCCCACCTTGTCTGTGTCACTTGATACACCCTTGGAGACCGTAGCTATCTGTGTTTCCTTGGGTCATACATCACTGTTTGTTCTCTCTACCTGAATCCAGGAGAGACTTATGATCAATCAGACCTTGATGCTTTCTCCATATTTAATCCTGGGAGACTTTAATGGACATAAACCCCTCTGGGGTGGTGCTGATATTGATGGGAGGGGCTATTCCATAGAGCATATGTTCTCAGATCACAACCTTTCTCTCTTCAATACTGGTTCGTATACTTATTTTCATGCACCTAGTCAGTCGTTTACTGCCATTGATCTATCAGTCTGTTCCCCTTCACTTTTCTACTGCTTTTCTTGGAGGGTTGATGGTGATCCATGGGGCAGTGATCATTTTCCTATCGTTTTGAAGGAGATTGGAGAACTTGATCCTGCTGTTATCTGTCTGCCATCAATAGATGACTGCTTGGTAGCAGTGACTGACTGTATTGTCCAGGCAGCTTCTCACTCTATTCCTAAGACCTTGACATGGTATCCTCATCCATGGTGGAGTCCTGCCTGCCAGGAGGCATGGAAGGCTCAAAAACAAGCTTGGGATACCTTCTGAGGGTATCTATCTCTTTCTAACTGCATAGTTTATCAGCGGGCATGTACCCATGCTCGGCAGGTTTGATGTTAAAGCCAAAAGGAATCTTGGGTTAAGTTAATTACTAGTATCTCTTCTACCACCAGTTCCAAAATCATATGGGTCAAGATTCGGAAGGTCACTGGGAGGTATGCTTCCCATCCCCATTCCCTCGTGCTCTCCAATGACCAGGAAGTTGCTGATGTCCGGAGCATTGCCGATACTTTTGGCGACAGCTTTTCTTGTGCATCTAGCACTTCTGTTTCTTCCCCTGTTTTCTTGGCCATCAAGTCTTGGGCAGAGCAATCTTTGCTGTGGTTGGTTGGGTTTCTGTGGATAACATTCTTCAGGCTGGTAGGTAAAAGTCTCCTCATATTCATCAGTCATTATTTGCATCACATTCACACAACTTCATCAAAAGGGATTTCAACTTTTCCAGCTTGTGGTGATCTAGAGTTGTCTTTGCTAATATTCATTTTGGTAAGTACTACTATTTATTTTATTCTTTATTGTGTACCTACCTTTATGAGTCATCAACAGTTTCTGTATACTAAGAAAAAACTTCCATACATCATCATAATCATGTCATATTGCCCTTCACTACTTATACATGCCATGAATGATTCATACATTAACTTCATTAATTAATACTTGATCTATACAGTACTTTCTTTAGATGTGGATTTCTGTTTGGAGCAACAGCAGCCTCTGGGGAAATTTTGTGCCTGAATCATGTAAACTAACATTTAATATTTTGTTCAATTGAAATTTTTTTTTCTTTGCCTGTCTAGCTTTGAGAATAGATGTAAGTTTGACTTGTTTTCACTTATTTTTGGGTTTTAATTTTTAATTTGATTGCAATGATGTTGGGATGATTTTATCAAAAAAGACAAGTTTTGGTCCCAGTGTATACCTTTTTATATGAAATTCATTTTTAGTGTTGGCTCAGATATGGTTATTCAACATATATTCCAGATCAACCTGTCGAGGCAGATGTATCAACTATTTGTTTGATTGACTGATTTTGTAGATTCAGTACTTTACTTTTCACCCTGTGGTGCATTAAGTATTAGGTTTTAAAAGAGCCTCTTTGAATTAGGCCCACAGACTGCTTGGTTTCACACTGTTCTCATGGATCACCAATGGGGTACCATGCCTTTATTGTAACTGGGTTGACTCTTCACTTTACTGGAGTTGTGAGGCCAGCATTATTTGCTCTGATATCACTATCTAGAAATACACTACAGATTTATTTGGTAAAAATGTTAGAGCATTTTATATGTGGCTGCTACAACTTTTGTCTTGGTAACTGCTCTGACTCATCACACTGCACATTGATATTTCTCACAGCATTAAGTTTTTTTTTTGTAGAACTGTAACAGAAACAAAATAAAAACTATGAAAAAAAGGTAATTTTATAAAGTTAGGTTTTTGTGTGAGAACTAGCATATGCCCGTTGAAACAGTTCAATGGTAATTTTCCTAAAAATAGTGATGAATAAATATAAAATGTGCAGTCAACCCTTTGATCAGAGTGCATATGCATACAATTATCCAGTGGGCCATTTACAACAGTCTTTTTCTCATTTGATGTGTTATTTGAATATGGAAAATTGCAAAAGAAACTGCAATATATTGGCAAAATGTTTGGGTTTCGATGCAATGGGTGCATCCAGCACAATAGAACACTCAGGTTCGCTAAGTAGCTGCAGTGAATCTTTTTGCTAGATGCCGCTGTTTCATGTCACTTTACTGAGTCCAAGAAAAGATCACTACCAAAGTGTGTGCTTTTTAGCAGTTGTTATTTCTATAGAAAGTGTCGAAGAGAAGATATTCAATTCAAATCAATTTTTTTGATGTAGTACAATAAAATACCAATATGGAAAAAAGGAATATATAGAACTGAACAATAATACATATACTCAAACACATTTCTCTCTATGCATTATTTCTCTCCATGCTCATATCTTCAAAATATTTCTTTCAATCACTTGTTTTTTTGTGAAAAAAAAAATCATTTTTTGTTTCTAATAATTTTTTTCTATGATTAGCTGTTCAGGATATACAGAGAGTGACAGACAGACATTTGGATATTATATATATATATATATCTTTAAAAAACTTCATTGCTTGAGAAGCTAATCGAAGGCAGTTCTATTTATCAACAACAAAAAGTGAAAAGTGAAGTACATTCATAGACATAATATTTTTTCATATAATAGTAGAAACTACACATCTGTTACAGACCACTGCATAAACAACTGTAGATTGTCAAGCAACCTAACAGTTTTATCAGTGTTAAGTAGTATACTTCTATGATACATTAAACATTAGACTGTTCACATACTTTGTAATTTTTCTACAAAATATGTGATGCAATTCATGTATATGTACCTCTGAAAAATTAAGTCTTTCCTTATTGAGTTTACTCTCTGCTGCCAACAACCATTTATCTCAGAGTTCTGAACATCTTTGACACACTGCAGAGCATGTGTCACCCATAATATTCCACTTTTCCCACCTTCCACATAAGCTTTGCTTTCCTGCTATAATTTAGACTTTTATGTTTCAGTCATGATGGAAACCACATTTTGGCCATTTGTACCTGTTTGAAATTTATTTTAATTCTGAAAATATGAAAGTTTGAATGTGTTTGAATTGTATCATATGATGAAAATCAAAATATGAAGGACTTGTTTTTTGTTATTTCACAATATTTATAGATCATTCGTGAGTAACAGTTTTTCTTATTTTACTCATCTTACCAAATTATTTTGATTCATTTATCACCTCTTTTTTTTATACCATCTGTTTGTGATCTTCAAGGCATCAAAGGACCAAGTAAGTGGTTAATGACTCCATTTTCTGCATTGGACAAAAAGAACATTGAGGAACGTCGAGTGTTTCTTCAATCTTATCTTGAAAAGTTGTGCAGTAGAGAAGTCGTTGTCAACTCTCCTGAGATGAGAGAGTTTTTTGCATATGGTGGTGATGCCAGCATTGCATATGTAAGAAAAACTAATGAAGTTGGTGTTCCAAGGATTGATAAGGTAGGAAAAATTCTTCACTGCTTACAAACAAAAAGTTTGCATTATATTTCAATAATTGAAGTGGAAATGAAAGTTACAATTTATAATTGAATTTTACAACTTTACATTTAGACTTTGGATATTTTTATTTGAGTTTTAGATATTCTGAAAGAAGGCAAGGCATTTTTTCCCCCATTTAAATAGTGTTGGATAAATCTGAGAAAAAATTTATGTTGTAATGCTTTTAACTAAACTATGCCCTTGTCAGAAATCTAGCAAGCTAACTTCACAAGAACTGTTAAATGGCAATTTCGATATGGCACATTACCTCCTCTCACATAAATAGCTATTCTCGTTCAGTGTTCTCCTCTATATCCAAAAAAAATTATTATGTATGCCACAAGCCTTCTATCTCCCCTCCATTTGAATTGACTGATTCTATTGTGCAAATCATTATGCGTCAACCCTCAACCAATAAGAGTGCAACTTACTCTCATGACGCATTTAACTCCCTTTGTTCAATTCTACAGAACTACCACTTCTCGTTTGGTAGTACTCGTGTTCAGACATTTTTTCTGACACGCATATTTTACATCAAACACTTTTGTTTGATTTACATATTTCTACAAGGAATTCTAAGGTTCATGTTTCCACTTTAGGTGTTGTACCTCTAGCACTATTTTCACAGGCTGTAGGTGGGGGAGACCTGTTGTTGGATTTTTCTGCTATTATCCATTGCGAGATTGATCATTATACAGGTCAACCTTCTTTTCCTGAACTTGCCCCACTAATCCTCTTGACAAAGCCGTACCTTTTCGGGCTGATGAAGACTTGATAGCCTTTTTACACCACTGGATTTTGTTGTGTTTTCCCCTACTTCTCGTGCAGAATCAGATAGGCCAATTATGACACTTTTCAAGTATGATTTCACAGGTATGTTATGTTTTATCTAATTTCCATTTTTCTGTGATTCCTTATTACCTCCATGTTGGCTTGTTTGTCATTTTCGGCTCTTGCTTTGCACACGTGGTTTCACTATAATTGGGATTTTCTGGGTCATGATGTGACCTTGTCTTGGGTACATTTGCTGCACCTTTATTTTCAGGATTACTGTATTTTTTCTTTGGTGATACGTTTTCGATCACGTATCTGAGACTGGAATCTCGTGTGTAATCTATGTGTCAACACTTGACCCTTTCCTCTTTGGTAGCACGTTTGTTGCAGTTGGAGTTACCACATGCCTGTATTGCTTTCCCATCCTGGTTCTTATGTACTTGTCCATGTCTCCTTTCCAGTGCTTTCTCATCTCATCATTTCATTTAATGTTGATGAGCATGTTGCCAACAGTACTGGAGACTAACCAGAGGGTTCTGGTCCAGTGGGTGCTTGACTATATTATATTGTTACCCTTTGGCAATCTTTCAGTTCAGTTTCATGGGTTCTTCGGGTTTTATCAGAGGGACTTGTCCTACTATTTCTTTCTCCTCCTCCTTTGTACCTGGTACACTTTTCTTTCCCAATGACTTTGGAATTCAGAGCACTTATATGCTCTTGAGAAGTGCTTTCCTCTATCTTTGGTCAACTGGCTACTGAACACTCTTTGCGAACAGGAGTCTGTCTATTACCCTTATCAGCTGCTCCTAGAAGTGGCTATAATGGGCTGTTAATTAAGTTGGAGAAGTCCTTACTGCAATCTATCCAATATCTTGTCATTTTCAGTGTTTTTCTTTTTCTACACACATCTCAGTTGGGCCCACCCTTCTCATTTTCAACTTCATTTGATGGGTTTTCAGTTTGATTACAGCTTGCAAAATTCTATTGCTTTGGGGATGTGATCTTCCATGGAAGCCTTATCCCCTCTGGTCAAACTAATATGTGGGCTGTTTCATGGGATTTTCATGACCAGTGGAATTTCGCAGGGGTCCTTTGTCAGTTCTCATTACCCTTCCTTCTACTCTTGTTGTCGATCAGTGTTGGTGATTAGGTATGACTCGCATGTCAGTGGGTGTCTTGCTTCCTCCTCATTCAGTTTTCCACATTTCATGGCCATATCCCTTCGGGAATGATGGTGGTGGTGGGGGGGGAGGCATGTGTTGATCAGTTAGAAGATTCGGGTTTTTGGTCTGAGGCCAAGAGGTCTTATTGTATCAATGCCCTGGTGCTTCTTTCTGTAGGTCATGTTTTGGTTCATTTTCTCCATCTGGCCAGAAATTGTCTGGTAATGATTCGTTTTGACTTTTCTTCAGTGGTTGCTTATCTCAATCACCAGGGCACCACCCATTCTCAATCCCTCTGTATTCACACATTGGCTCTTTTTTTTTTTAGGTCTCACATACAAGATATTTCTATTATTGCATGTCATGTTCTGGGTGCTTTTGCTCTTGTTGTGGATCGGTTTTCCTGTCCTGACAACATTTATCTGATGGAGTGGTCTCTTGATCCTTTTGTTTTCCAGGGGCTTTGACTTCAGAGGGGTACTCCTCACATTGAGGCTTTTGCTACATCCCTTAACCACAAATTACCTTTGTTTTGGACTCTGGTTCCTCATCTTCTTGTTCTGGCTATCTATGTTTTCAACCAGGATTAGACCAATGCATTTATCTATCCTCCCATTCTCCTTCTTCTCCAAGTGATTTCATTCATCTTTGACACTCCAGGTTCAGTCCTTCTGATAGCTCTTTCCTGGCCATCTCAGCTGTGGTTTCCACAGCTCCTCCAGCTCCAACTTCTTCCTCCATTACCTTTTCCCCTGTCTCTTCTTCACCACCCTCAGTTACATCGGTGTTACATCCAGATATTCCTGTTCTCCATCTTCACACTTGGTTTTCCTCTAGTCATTGGCGAGGGGATCCATCTTCTCCCCTCGACGTGGATTCCTGTACGTGGTGAGGGGACCTCCCAGGGAAGGTTCTGTATTTTCAGTTACTTTCTTTGGGATCTAAACATCCACCCACGTGTTTGCTGTGCATGGCAACCCATAAAGGGGAGGCGACGATCCTGATGGTTGAGTGGT